AACTGGCTGCATTTTAATAAACCCCCAAGACCCTGTTCCTCTTCTTGACCTCACACCTTTTTTTTTTTACCGTGATTTGGTTCTGTTGAGTCAGAAAATCAGCTGGCAGCTGCTCTTCCTTGGGAATGTTTTGTTACCTGCTGCCCCCAAGAATGCTCAAGTATCGGACACGCACTCCTTAGGAGGGGGAAAAAAGCACCACTTCCACACCGACATTAAGAAAACAATTTATTTGAACAACTCAGCCACAAACCTGCTGTTAATTCGCCACAAAGAGCGAGAAAAGGGTTTAAGAAAAGCGATGTAACGTGTCAACTAAAGTAATTATTGCTTCTACGTGGATGGCTCGAAGCAGAGCGAACCCTGGTCATGTCCTTAACCTAGAGGTTAGTGTTTTAAAGAGTTTAGGCTCCATTTTTTAAATACACAGAGCGAGTTTCAACTACTAGGAGGATAAACATTGCAGGAGGAGGTTTTACTCTTCAAAAATTCAATCCCGTGGAGCTGCAGGAAGCTCGGATATTCAATTTTTTTGACTCCTAGGGCAGATCTGCCTCCAGCACCTCGACGATGCGCGCAGCCGAGGGCCGCTTCTTGGGGTCCTCGCTGGTGCAGACGGAGAAGAGGTCGATCATCTGCTGGTAGGACGGGTCCAGTTCTTCCATGTTGAGGGCCGGGCGGGTTCCTAGGGCCGCGTAGTACGCGTCCTCGTCGAAGCAGTCTTCGTCGAAAGATTCGTCTGGATTAAACAGAGAAAAAAAATAAAGCTGGTGAAGGAGGTGAGAATGTTTCCAGGCACGGGACATCTGCCTCCTTGGTGATTTCTGGGGCTCTGAGCGTGTCTCACAGGATCATTTCCAGCTTTTCATCCACCAGTCCTGCTTTGCAAGCAGGATGTGACCTTTATGTCAGCTTGATTATTGCTTTATCGGCATTAATTAGTGTCTGACTTTCCCTTTTGCCTGAAATCGCTTGTTTTGAAGCTGTGGCCACCAGCTTTCTCGCCGCAGAATAACTGAGTCACACCCCTGCAGAGCTGGCTGGGAAAACACCGATGCGAGGAGACGCTGAGAGCAGGAGAGTGAGGAGGGGAAAAAAATAAAATAAAATTCCCCTGGCTGCCTGGAGACCAAACAAAACACAAACTGGCCTGTGGGGCCGTATCAGCACGAAGGCTGGAGTGAGAGAGAGGTTTTCCTGGCACTGCCTGTAGGGTTTTGAGCTCTGTGTGGCTCCAGGGCAAGGATCTGCCTGGGGGGAGATGTTAACAGCCCCTGCCTGGCCCATCTACCCCTCGTTACTCCAACAGGTGGCCAAGGCCAACGGCGTCCTGGCCTGGGTCAGCGCTGGCGTGGCCAGCAGGGCCAGGGCGGGGATCGTCCCCCTGGAGCCCCGGGTTCAGGTTTGGGCCCCTCCCGCCAAGAAGGAGCTGGAGGGACTGGAGCGTGTCCCGAGAAGGGCAGCGGAGCTGGGGGCGGGGCTGGAGGC